GCAAGCCAGCGCTCCTTCCCTCCGTTCCCCGGGCGAAGGAGGCACACGCTTGCTCGTCCACGGCCGGTTCCGTTGCACTGGCCGCCACCGCCGGCCAGTCTTTAAGGTTAAGGTGCACTTGGATGCCGCGGGCCACCTGCAGAGAAGTCAGGTCGTCTTCCTCTGCCACCGCGAGGGTGACCCCCAACTCCTGAGCCAAGGAGATAAGCCGTTCCAAGGCGAGGGAATCCAAGGCAACTCTGTCCATGCGAGGGAAAGCCGCGTGCCCCAAGGTGAGGAGCGCACTGCGGTAGGCCAGCGGCGTCTCGCTCTCACCCAGTCGCCACAGCCTGAATCTTCTCTGAACATTAGACGGGGATCAAAAATAGCGGCCATCTCGGTGTAGGCGCGCTCGAGTGTCGCTCTATACGACTCGAAAAAAGCAGCTAGCGAGTCGTCGCCGAGGGCCGTGGGAAGAGCTTGAAGCGCCTCCCGGGATGTCCATCCCACCGAGATGTAGGCGGCCTCGAATCAACAACGAAAAGCCGTCCAATCTCCTGAACTGACGCACCGGTGGCAGCCATCGGAACTTGGAATCGTCTTCAACTTTGGAAGTCAGCGGCTGCTGCTGCGGCGCCGGCCGATCGACCGAAATGGAGGATGAGTGGAGCGCGGCTGTAGCCACCGAAATGGCGGGAAGGTCCAGCGCCCCAGTCACAGTGGCGGGAAGCGTGTCTTAGCATCCAGTGGAAGTCGCAGCAGTCATCCGCTCGAAGAGATGAGCGTTGGCTGACAGCAATCTCCCCAGGTGACTGGCGATGTCCTGTCAGCTCTGCGGAGGGCAGCTGGGCTAAACTCACCACACATTCTTAAGCCGACTGAAGCACATTGTTGAAGCGGGCGCTCAGAGCTCCGGCAACCAGAGCTGTTGAAGGGAGGACGTCTTGCTCGACGTCGTCGGACGACGCAACAGGTGGGTTCTTAAGTTTCATCGCCAATTTGGACATGACGGCAAAGGTTCGTTGGCACTTTTGTCTTCACAAATGACTCGCACCGACACGTAACAAGTCAACTGCTGACACTTTATTCAGTTGTTCTTGCGCCAGTTATAGGCACTCCTATAACTATCTGTATGGTCACATGTAATTAACTTTTCCCCTGCTCTTATATATTCTGCACCTAACTTATCCTGCACTCAGCAGTTCTGCTCTCAGCAACTCCGCACACAGCAGTTTCTCACCCAGCGACTCCGCACACAGCGTCTTCGCACCCAGCAACTCCGCACACAGCGTCTTCGCACTCAGCAACTCTGCACACAGCGTCTTCGCACTCAGCGACTCTGCACACAGCAACTTCGCATCTCCACTGCTGCCCTCACCTGCGCTCCTTCAGACCCGCTCACCCATCTGCCCGGGCGGGGGGTTCAGCCAACACCCGCCCGCCGACGGCGTGAAGGTTGAGGTCCCATTGATGGCTGGAGTGGCAGCAGCGAGATGTCTTCACTCTTGGTTCCTGGCAACAAACCCCCCTTCCCCTCGCTCACACACGCTCCCGCTTATATCCCCCTGCTCATCCCGAGTCCTCGCGTGCTTCCACTTAAGCTGCTGCCAAGCCGGCGCCAGTTGTCCCATTAATATCTTATCATCACCCCTCATCTCCCATCTCCTAGGCGCCAACCTCTGGTCACAGCGTAGCACCTGTTTGCCCTCTGTTGCACCCGCTTAACTGTGCGCACGGTGTATTTCTCTCCTCTACACAATCAATCCATCTACAATCAACCTAAATTATTAAATCCAGTTCACCTATATGTCGATTATGATAATGTTAAGGCGTCTACTTAAGGACCCGGATCAAGCTGCGCATTCACTCAATGTCGCGCATTCACTCAATGTCTTTGCGCTTGCTTACACCTGATAATGTTGAATGTAATCTTCAGTGAAACGTTCATGTGATGATTTGTTTGGCTGTCAGCTTATGGAAGGTACATAGCTCTGATTTGGTATTATACTCACAGGATTTAACCCAAAAAATATATAATAAATCAAAGGGAGAGAGACTGTTGGGCAGTAGCAACTTGGGAAGAAGGCAGGTCACGAACTATGATGAGTAAAGGGGAAGCAGGACATTTAATCTTAAGTGGTTGCTTCTGGAGTGGTGTCTGTATCATCTTAGGTTGATGCAGCCTCATGAGTACCTGGTGCAATGTGTAGACATCGCCACGAGGGAGACAAAGGCGGCCAGGCTTGGTGCTGGCCAACTACCGCCTCGTGTGCTGTTCCGGCCTTCATAGTGCTCTCTAACAGCACTCGCCCCAACAATCTTGTTAAGATTTGTCTTGTGTCTTCTTAAAAATATTTTTGGCAAACACTCATCCAGAACTAATTTCACTACTGCAAGTACAGTATAGTGTTCATGGTGTATGAGGTCAACCTATGTTAAAACAATTGAGCCTATTGTGTTTGTCTTAAAATAATTTGGTTACCCCATGTTCTGGTGGACATTAACATTGCTCTGAAACGAAACTACAACACTGTTCACAGATGTTATTCAATGTTAATTTCATTTACACAATTTTGACACGGGTATATGGTTTGATCTCTTATTAAGCTGATGCTTTATGTAGTGAATGTTTTTATACAACTGTTTAGGCCTATGTCAGCCCTTTGGAAAAAGAGGTTTTCTATCACAATAGAAATGTATTCAAATGCATCAACAGTATAATAGCTGTAAAGTTATTTAAATAATTAGGCTTTGTGAGACTTAAATAAGCAGCTTGAATGGCAACGTGGCTTTTTTCAGCACAAACCAATTAATTATTAGCATCAACATTAATTAGAACTCCGAGTACATGTGCTTGTCTGCATAGGCGTAATTTAATCATGTTAGCCCTGAAAATATAGTTTTCAGCAGTTCTAGAAAAAAAATTTTGATAGAATATTTCACATTCAACCAAAGTGAACTACTTTCCTTCATGCCCGCGTCACAACTTACTTGGTTACAAAAATATGTGCAGCAGTGGTTAATTTGAAGAATAATCTTTGTGTTTGCAACTGCACACATTGCCATTTATATAGTGTTGGTGCAGCAGAATGTTAATAACTCCTGAAGTACATAGTACATGCTGCATGCGTACTATAACATAGTACACTTTTATTTACCGAAAAAACCAAGAATATGAATCTAGTACATTCTAGATTTGAAGTTTTTGTGACTGCAAGAATCCATACTCTTTGGTTCTTTCGGTAAAGTCACGTAGGTGAAAAATAAAATATAAAGAATAAATGTTTCTAACTGTTTGTGTCCCACCTGATGACGGGCGCTTGTGTTGCGCCCGAAATGTCGTGAGTTAATTTTTTATTTTATTTTTCACCTACGTGACTTTACCGAAAGAACCAGAGTGTGAATATAGTACACTTTATTTGGAAATGTATAGCTCGCACATTTGCTGCTACTTTTGCTTTATTAGTATTCACCACTGACAAAGGGGCAAGGCATTTGTTGAAGGAAAAAAGTAACAGCATTTTCATTTAGGTTCTTCACTGACCTTTGTAGCTCAGGAGCACAACACTCTTTTATTAGAAATATGGATGTATGGCCCAGCTGTAATTACTTTCCATTCTGTTCTGAAGCACAAAGCGCAAACTTGCCGTCAGCAGTTTGGGTTCGAGCATCTGAAACTGATGTCCCATTTCTGTTAGACAATTGAGACGCATGGTTAAGATATATTATGGCTCCTAATTTCATGATGGGCATGCAATAGCAGTAACCCAATTCATTATCGCTGTAATTAACAGACTATTTTAAAAAAATGTCTAACATCGTTAATGCCACTCTTTAATCAAATTGTTATAAAGATAGGTTTATGTTCGCATTTTTGATAAGATGCATTCTTTTGGTAATTTTTTCAGCTGAATGCACTATCTATCACTTAGCATGCATTACGTTGCTTGGTAAATTAGCATGCTAACTTTGTCAAATAACGTTTTTGTAAATTCATTGTCCAAATGCTGTACTGAGTGAGTAGTGATCATCTATGGGGGTTTTTTTCCGAGCATCGTTATGGCATTGACCTGTCTCCCAAGGACAGTGTTACATTCTGTTCGAGTTTGTATTTTATTAATACATATATTTTTATTTGTATCAGAATAATTGAGTATTAGCCATTCTCAATCTTCTGCTTGATCGGTAGCACGGTTGGCTACATACGGTGCAAAATATACATACATTGCATGTGATAATTCCAATTATGCACCCATACAATTGTAATGCAACTTAATAGTGAACAACAACTTGTTAGAAATATGAGCATAACTATTTATTTGCATATCTAACCTGCAGAGCATTGTAAAGAATATGAAAAGTCATGGCATTTCTTTTCATGAAAAACTTGATGTTTCTTTCCTTTTGTAAGATATTTTCATATTTGACAGCACTAGCTTAAGTAAATAAAATGTTCGTTTTACGATTGCTGCTACAGTCACCTCGACTGACATTTAAAAAATCGGCATTTGGAAATAATTTCCCATTTTATACAATAAATTATTCACGTCAGTGGTTGTTGTGACTTTAAACAAAGTACACAAACAAATGTAACCTTATACTTTTCATAGACCGAAATCTATTTCAAGTGCCTCCTCTGTGGAGTGGCCATTTGCAGCACAAATGAATCAGACATAAATGCCTGAAAAAACTATTATTCAAAACGTTTGTTGATTAGCACTTGTAAAAAAAGGTGTATGTACTTAAGGACCCTTTGTTTAAATTTAAACCGCACTTCCAATGAGCACGGTTGTCTACGTATGGTGCAAAAGAAGTGCTAAATACATTGTCATAAACACAAGCACCCACATGTGGTCATACATTCACAATGGGTATATTTTATTTGATTGGCAGACATAGACTCCTGCTATTGTAAAAATCTAACTTGCTGTTAAGATGGAACAAGCTATAACGAGTGGTTGTGTAAATGTCCCAATTAACGCTAATCCATGGCTTCTGCACCACAACCCTCGACCCCACAGGAAGGCAGAGCAGATGTTCGGGAGCATGGAGGTGTGGAACAATGTACAGGAGCGGGATCGCAACGAGATTTATGAGGATGTGATCTTCTTCCTGGCCAAGAAGGAGAAGGCGAGTCACAAAACAATTAGACCAATTTTCTAAAATTATTTAACAAATTGCTCAACACATTTGTGTTGCTGCTTCTGAATAAGCACATAACCAATTACTGCTAGTGTGCATTTGTATCTTGGTCCAGGTGGTCCTTGAGTCTCCATGACCATCTGAACAGACACCTTCAGCTTTAAAGAGGCTGCTGTGTTGCCAGAAAAAAATTAGAACAGAAACAAAAAAACCATGATTAAACCTGTTGAATTGAAATTTGTAAGGGAACCCCATGATTTTTTTGTTGTTGTAAAATTGAGATTTAATGACACCAAGTCACTAGCAGAAGGAATTTCAATAATGACATTCATTTTACCTAGTTATCATAGACGAGTGAGAATCTCTTACTTTGACCAAAGTTGGCTCTTAGATCACATCATTCCCAAGCTTTGGCTTTACAATGATGGCCCATGTTCTTGTTAACATGCACATTTTGTATTGCTCAAATATATGTTGTTAAATCCACTCTACGGTCCACCCACCGCGTCCACTGCTGTGTGACCAGGAGGAGGCCAAGCGTCTACGTAAGAGGAACATCCAGGCACTCAAGAGCATCCTTGACAGCATGACAAGCGTCACATTCCGCACCACCTGGTCCGAGGCGCAGCAGCACCTTATGGACAACCCCACATTCGCGGAGGACGAGGAGTTGCAAAGTGAGGCCCTTGTTTTAATCCCCTCTTGCTGCCGTATACCCTTTTTCTCTCAATTATAACTCCACCAAGCCTAATGAAACTTGTATAGTAGCGTTTCCTAGATGCTACCTTTCTCTCTCTGTATTGGTATTTTGTGTATGGGTTGCAGTGTTGGTAATGCACCAGACAAACAATGAAAGGGTGCAGGTTAAAATCGTGGTCCAGGTTATTACTGACCCCATGATTTTGCTGGGATCAATATAAAGTTGGCAGTGGCTACCTTGGAGAGAATCACCCACACTACAGGAATGCAACAATTTTACAACTGCCCGTGATGTCCCAGGGGAGATTAGTTCCATCCTATTGAGTAGGAAAACATTTTAATTCTGTTATTTAACTGTACTCTCGAAAGTGTTGTCATTTGTGTTGTCCAATTGAAGAAAGTTAAAACAAGTTGTTCCAAGCATGCTTTGCTATGTTACCCCAAGCGAGTATTTTCTACACTAATTTTATTTTTGGCACGCTCTTATTTCTAGTAAAACACTCACCTCGGCATCGTGTCGTGCATCGTGTGATTGTGAATTTGTGTGCATGAACACCATGCTGGTTCTTGAGCACAGATATGGACAAGGAAGATGCACTGATATGCTTTGAGGAGCACATCCGTGCACTGGAGAAAGAGGAAGAGGAGGATAAAGAAAAAGGCCGACTGAGAGAGCGCCGCATGCAGCGCAAAAACCGTGAACTGTTCCAGGTGTGGCATCTGACGCTATATTCTTGTATACTCTTTGGTTCTTTTGGTAAAGTCACGTAGGTAGAAAAATAAATAATAAATCACGACGTTTCGATCGCAATACAAGCAATCGCCATCAGGTGGAAAGATACAGCAGTAGAACTGCTGAGCAAGAAATGGCTGCTGCAACAAGAGGTTATATATAGGTTTGAGGTGTGTGTCACCCAAGGGTAAGTAGGCGGGGTCAGAGATAGAAAGGAGTCCCGCCGCACACACAGCAGCTGCGTCAAAGGGAGAGGTTGGCATGTCAATGTAAACGAGTTTAATGGGAAGATAGCATGTCTATGTCAGAGGACCTGGCATAGCGCCACCTCATGGGCAACACAAGCTGCGGCTTTGGCTGCTGCACAGGGAGAGGCCAGCGTATCAACGCAAGAGAACCACCGTAACGGTAGCCGTGCCAGTGAGACAGCCTTTTACACAGCGAGAGCGACCGTTACATCGAGGCAAAAGGTAGCAGCGGTGGCTATGTTAGTCAGACCTTAGTCTGTTAATGTAAAGACATTTAACAAGGTGATGTAATTCAGAAAGTCGGAAATAACTGCTAAACAACGGCAGGAAGGATGGACACATCACAGCAAGTTAAGACTTTACCTGGTTAATAACATCCTTCCAATGATTGCTCAGTCTTTATATATCTTTCTTGTTCAGCAGTTCTACTGCTGTATCCTGATGACGATTGCTTGTGTTGTGATCGAAACGTCGTGATTTATTATTTATTTTTCTACCTACGTGACTTTACCAAAAGAGCCAAAGAGTGTGGATTCCTGCAGTCACGTAAGCTTAAAATCAAGATTATATTCATGTAGTAATGCTGCTACTACCTCTGGGCTGCATTATTTACGGTATGATACTCTGCATGACTGCTTTCTCCTGTACAGCTGTTTTTGGATGAGTTGCACAACAATGGGAAGCTGCACTCCATGTCTACATGGATGGATCTGTACCCGGCCGTCAGTGCAGACATTCGCTTTTCCAGGATGCTGGGGCAGCCAGGTAAGACACGATTAATTGCCGTACCCCCCTGTCTGCTCATCTCTCCACTTTTTATTCTGTTAGATCTCCTTCACTTGTTCTGCATCTCATCTGTCTTCAGTCTAACTTTTTACATTTGTTTTCCTTCTACCGGGTTGGCTGTCGATTACCTAGAATGTTCCGCTGCTACTTTTTTCCAATGTGAATTTTCATCGCTTAGCTATTGCGTCAGCTCCCCATTCTCTATAATCTCAGTTGCTTGTAAAATTTCACCTTGATTTCTCTGGTTCAATAATTGAGTCCACCCTGTTCATAAAATAACTTCGTTGAAGGACTATGAAAATGTGATAGCACTTGCATCACAAAGCTACACCAGCAGCTGTGTTCGAGAGTCTTGCCCAGCTGCTGTGCCATACACTTTGTAATTGCCAGCGGTGAAGCAGTGAGCCAGAGTGAATTGAGAATATACAAATACATCTCATCTGATTTTCAAGTCGGCAGCTTATTCATTGCATCTTGCAGGTTCTACACCACTGGATTTGTTCAAATTCTACGTGGAGGACCTCAAAGCTCGCTACCACGAGGAGAAGAAAATAATCAAGGATGTGCTCAAGGTACCGAGTGACAGCAGGCTTGCATTTCCTATACTAGTGTAAAAGTTGTGACTGTCTACCTGCCTTTTCACTATACTACTGTGGGAAATAAACGTTGGTTGGCTTATGGAGAGATTGATCCCCCACGAATGGAGGTAATTACCACCAAAGGCTGGTTATGTTGCCAAAAATACAAGCTGTGCTGCCTATTTGTAATAGTATGTTTAAAGTAATACCTTGTTTTCATAGTTAAAAGATATAACATTTACATGTATTGATAACTCAGGCTAGCATCAGTTCTCTCTTTAATACGGAAGCATTGCAGACAAAATTAATGTATGTAAATAATTGTTATTTTCCACCATGTGGCAGAGGTTGATGTAATGAGTAGTGGTGCCAGAATGTATCACCCCGGTCTCAATTATACTCGTAAGCTTATAAATTGTGAATTATCAACAACTTGGCAAGTATCTATCAGGTACCCAACTGTAAAGCAGAACAGCAATCTCAAATGTGACACTGTCGTGTTGGTCATCCGAGCTGTTTCTGTCCTCTTCTACCCACCCATACTCCTGTTCAAAGGACAAGAACTTCATGGTTGAGGTGAAAACGACGTTTGAGGAGTTTGCGTCCCTCATCAGCTCTGACAAGCGTGCTGTAACATTGGACGCAGGAAACGTGAAGCTCGCGTTCAACAGTGTATGTTTCGCAAAACATTTTGTTCCTGGTTCGAATGGGCTGGGTTTATACACCAAACTGTTCAGGGAGCCCACAAGCCAAGGCAAATGCTACCTACCATGAGCAGAAAACTTACCGTCTATACTGTCTGTTTTATAGATAAAGTTAATATTTCCTGTAATGTTCCTGCACTGTTTCATCACATTCGTGTGTCCCCCCACCCCAAAAAAAACGATTCACTATCAAAATTACTACAGTACCCTTGAACCACATTTTTCACTTATATATGTGATCTAGACTTGAAAAAAGGTTTCAAGAAACCGACAGTAAGTAAAACCTTGGATTGCGAGCATAATTCGTTCCGGAAATGTGTTTGTAATCCAAAGCACTTGTATATCAAAGCGAATTTCCCCATAAGAAATAATGGAAACTCAGATGATTCGTTCCACAACCCAAAAATATTCATTTAAAAATTATTAATACAAAATACCTTTTTATATTTTAATATTTAAATGTAATGTAAAGTAATCTAATTTATTAATAAAATGTAATCGTGGCTGGTGTGAGGGAGATGAGAGAGAGGAGAGGAGGGTTATTGTGTAGGACGACTTTCACTGTCACGAACGGAATCACTGCTATCTGTTGGCTCACTGGAATCTATTTGTGCGACTTTAACAAGGAACCTATCCAATGACACTTGCTTTTGCCTCCTTTTGAGGATGTTGACTATACGAGTGAGGCACGCCGACTGAGACCGAGCATGGGAGACGATTACCCACAATCCTGCAGCAAGAGAGAGAAGCACCATCGGCTCAGTTGTGATCACGTGACGCTCGGCAGACAAAGCGTATACGTACTTCTCGTATTGCAAGACCTCGCTCGTTTATCAAGTAAAAATTTATTTTAAAAATTTGCTCGTCTTGCCAAACACTCGCAGACCAAGTTACTCGCAATCCAAGGTTTTACTGTATTTGCATACTGCCAACATGGGTGGTATGATGCTTTGTCCAATGGCTCAAGGACCAAGTGGTTGGTCGCTAAGTTATTTTTAAATCGGGTACTTACGTCACCTGATGACCAGATCTTGTTGGGTTTATTCTTAATCATTGAGTATGCGTTCATAATAGCATATTTGCAATATGATATAATTTTGGTGCTGCTTATACACCAAGCAGCTCATGTGTTTAAAATTTACAAGAATATGCTAACATCCGCCTGCCAGCATTCCTGTCCGCTTGGCTGATTTACCCAAAGAGTCTGGAAGTGATTTTAAATTACTCTCCATGAGGATTTTTACATTCACCATTTTTCCGTCACTCAGGTAGTAGTGTGCCGAGTCATGAAATATTAAACACATCTGGTATTCCACTTTGGTAAATTGCATGATGTAGTTCTTTGGTTTTTTCGGTAAAGTCACGTATAAAAATAAAATAATAAATTAAATAATAGCATACGACGTTTCGATTGCAACACAAGCAATCATCATCAGGTATAATGAAATAGCGACATAGAATATAACCAGAAAACTATAGACAGACATATAAGCAGACAGATATCACCAAGATACATAGAGAGAGCAACCCAGGTACAGAGAGAGGTGATCGTCTCTGTGGGGTGGCCTTAAATAGACAGAGGGGGGCGGAGGCAGAGAGAGGGAGGGGGTAGGGAAAACATTTACATGTCAATGAGTACGAAGGGAGGGGAGTAAGGTAAGCAGGCTTAGAGGGAGACAGAACACACTAAATTAAATAACCTAGCAAAGTATCGAAATGTTATGTAAAACGACACAGAGAGTCGGTCAACACACAATTAACGCATTGCCTGGTCGATTACGTATTTCAAAGATTGCTAAGTTAGAATTTAAGTGTGAAAATTCCAAAGAAAGACAAAACATAAAAAAGAGGAACGGAGACACAGACAGAGCAGAACCTAAGAACGATACAAAACGAGTGTAGACAGAGAAAATTACACTAAATATACAGGCAGAGAGAGAGAACAAGAAACCCAGAGAGAGAGAAAAAGGTAAACTTAATTTAGTGTGTTCTGTCTCCCTCTAAGCCTGCTTACCTTACTCCCCTCCCTTCGTACTCATTGACATGTAAATGTTTTCCCTACCCCCTCCCTCTCTCTGCCTCCACCCCCCTCTGTCTATTTAAGGCCACCCCACAGAGACGATCACCTCTCTCTGTACCTGGGTTGCTCTCTCTATGTATCTTGGTGATATCTGTCTGCTTATATGTCTGTCTATAGTTTTCTGGTTATATTCTATGTCGCTATTTCATTATACCTGATGATGATTGCTTGTGTTGCAATCGAAACGTCGTATGCTATTATTTAATTTATTATTTTATTTTTATACGTGACTTTACCGAAAAAACCAAAGAATAATTCCTGCAGTCACGAAAGCTCCAAAATTAAGATTGCATGATGTAGGTTAGGGTACCATGAGGAGCCTCTGTCCTTGCGAGATGTATTACCATGGCACCATGGGTCACAAACTTCCTGACAGGCAAGAAACTATGGAATGGGCCTGCACTTGGTTAATATGTATCTAGAAAAAAATTCTAAATTAAAAGCAAAAAACCCACGACGTTTCGATCGCAACACAAGCGGTCTTCATCAGCTACAGAGAAAATAGGCGAGCAAGCCTCCAAATGTCGCTGCTTATAATGGCTCCAGAGTGAGTGGGCAGGGGAAAGGGCTGTGCAAGAGACAGGGGGAGAGAGAGGGGGTGGGGCAGAAGACCGCTTGTGTTGTGATCAAGACGTCGTGGGTTTTTTGCTTTTAATTTAGATTTTTGTTTTCTATCTACGTGACTTTACCGAAAGAACCAAGAATATGAATTCCTGCAATCACGAGAGTTTTAAGTCTAAATTTAATATGTATCTCTAAATGTATATATTTTCATTGCTCAGTATTATTGCATTATAAAATATTAAGGCATCTGCAGCTCAAAGAGATAATGGGAGACCGTTGTTGATAAGGCCCAACAGGTTACTTATTGACTAAACACCCATTTACAGGCTTCCGTGGCAAAAAGTACAAACCCAGAAACATTTTGTGTAATGGCGTCTGAATGAATGCAGCTGATTGAGAAAGCGGAGGCACGTGAGAAAGAACGCGAGAAGGAGGAGGCCCGCAAACAGAAAAGAAAGGAGGCTGCATTCCGCAACATGCTGAAGCAGGCGACCCCTCCTCTGGAACACGACTCCAAGTGGGATGACGTAAGCAAGATTGTCGCCATTTCTACAGTTAATTGTCTAAGCCTTGCCCCAAGACGATTTGTTAGCTGCATGTCAATTTAATGTGTCAAAAGTCTAACCATGCTCAACTGATCTTGATGCAGTGCTTAAATCTGTTGGTGGTGATAAGCCAATTCTTTGAAATGCCACATTACTCTGGTTGGAGGTACTTTATCAATGGGATGATCACTTCACTTTCCACAATATGCGGCCTATTACTTTATAAGGATGAGTGGAATGCAGCCGCTAGTAAATTAGAAATGCTGTCCTTTATAGCTTTCTCATAATCACATCTTTTTGCCCACTATTGACTATAAAGTGAGACACTTGAGAGTGTCTTAGATTGTTTAATTAACTTACATAGCAATGGGAAGCATTGCTTGCAGAAACAACAAAATTAATTGGATTGTTGTGCCATTTTCTTTTCTCTTATCAGAGCTGTTATGGAATGATTATCTTCATATGAACTATCAGACATTCCTTATTAGTCTAGTGCCCTTGGGACAAAAAATGCATTATAGGCTAATATTATGGAATTCTTGCTAATATGATAGCCATCTTGAGCATCTGTAAAACACTGATTGTGAAGTATGTCCTATTAAATTGTCCACACATACATTGAGCTATTATAAATGCATTGTCTTCAGCACCAACATAGTTACGTCTTATATCACATTTTTGAAAATGCGTTGTAGCCAATTTTGATACAACACTGCACCAATGCACTCTAGTGCCTGCACTGGCTTCTTGTTGTGTGCATGACTGCTATGCCGAACTCTGATTTGTGATTCTTTACTTGCTATTTGAAGCAGCATAATGCGGAGAAATATAAATTAGATGTCACTGTGTCCAGCATGGTTCTTTGTGACATGTTATTCACAGTCAACAGCCACACAGGAAAGCAGCACAAACAATTCAGTCCATCACATTTTGTTCCGCATTGATAAGTTTAGATATAATTCTTGGTAGATATTGCTTGGTCTTTGTGCAATATAATGATATTTGTAATTGGATTTTAGCAAAATATTGCTTATTCAAGATTGTGGCCTTGTTTATGTTCACTTACAAGTTGTACTTGTACATGTTATTTGATGCAGTGCATGGTTGTGTACAAGTTGTCAGCTGTGTTTTTTCAGCATGTATACTCTGTATTGTTGTATTCCGGATTATTTATGTTGTACTTGACACATTGCACATGTGTGTTTTAAATGGGTCTTCAGGTTTAATTTATACTGTTACAAAAGGCATGCTTAAAACAATTAGAACTGATATTATTGGGTCTTTCGGTAAAGTCACGTAGATAGGTTAAAAGAAAATATTTTAAAAAATAACAAAAAACTATGACGTTTCGATCGCAACACAAGCAATCGTCATCAGGAGAAAAAATAGATAGAAATCTGCTGAGGCTGGATGTTTTAAAGGTTTGAAATGGTTGTAGCTTCGGGGTCATAAGCGAAGTGGGCGGGACTAGTGATGTTAAAGTGAGAGATTAGCATGTCAATGTAAGATCGCAGAGCCACCGCCACATCAAGGATAACGAGCAACGGGACAGCAATGAGACATTTAACCTGTTAATGTAAAGAAATTTAGCCTGTTAATGTAAAACCAGAGAGTCGAAAATAACTACTAACATCGGAAGGTAGGATGGAAACATCACAGCCAGTTATGACTTAAAAGTGTTTTTTTTCGACTCTGGATTTACATTAACAGGTCTTTACAGATTCGAAGTTTTCGTGACTGCAGGAATCCATCCTGTCTAGGTTTTTAACTTTACCGAAAGAACCAGAGAGTATGGATATTTTTTGTGTAGATCACCAAAAATGTACAGCACATGAGAACCTTTCCTGTCTTTTGTCGATAAATAAGTAAAAGCATCACCCAGCTCAAGCGAGCTTTGCTGCAGAATTTTTCTCTGGAGGTTTATTTTATTTGTTACACAGATTATACCATTTAGCCAGTTGCCTGGCTATTTTACAATGGAAATTCGTTGGTGGGGGAATTTCCACATTGCCATGGTGATGGACACTTTATGTTGCTGATTGCATCAAGGAGCATAAACCATCATGCCAACTCCAGTCATCCTCGCAGCGGCTTTTGGTTCGCCATGAAACAAAGACGGTCACTACATCGTGCACTTTCAGATGCGCTTCTGCGGCCGTCTGGAACGCTCTTCCGATATTACTAAGCCACTGGAGCTATGCACTTTTAAATCTAGATATAAAACTTTTCTTAAGAAATTATTTTTGTGTTTAGTTTGTCGTTCTTCCGCCGCACCTCCGATTAGCACAGTTGTCTGCATATGGTGCAAAAGAAGTTCATACATACGTGTCCTTAATGTTGTGTGTGTCTGTGAATGTGTTCAAGGTGCGAGACCGCTTCGTCAATGACTCAGCCTTTGACCAGATCACTGTAGAGTCGGAGCGCATCCGCCTCTTCAAGGAGTACGTGGGTGCCCTGGAGGTGTGTGCTCCCCCTACTCAGTGCTGGGTTAATACATCTTTGCATGCCAACATATGGACACCTAAACATATAATTCCCCGTACATGAATGGTGTTTCAATTATTGCATACACTTTGATACATTTGCTTGCATAGGATGCACGTTAAAGATGGATAATTACATTTAGCATACAGGCATGACACGGAAGGGTGTGTATAGTGATCTGTACTGTGCCTGGCTGCAGTTTCCTTTGCTTTGCTGATGTTCACAATTCAGCAGGAACTTATTTTCGGCTGAGTCAACCTTAAAAGACACCCAGTCCAGGTTAAATATAAGCTACTGTTAATATTATGTATGAGCAGAAATGTAACTTTCACTGAGTTCATAATATGTTGGGCTAACTGAATTGTTCTAACTAGTTCATACATTTACTCATACAATGGTTTTATAGCAGAAAGACAAAATAGATGCATTGCATACATTCACATGTCACCAGAAGAATAGGACCTGTATTGGATATTCGTTCACTTGTGTTATGTTGTTCATGAACTTACAAGTCCTTTGTTCAGCATGATTGCATCTGATACTTAATTTTGAGCCGCTACTGTTGATTGCCAACATACATTCACAAAAAACATTGCAATCAAAATCATCACATGCATTCACCTTATTGGATATGCAAACATGTGAAATCAGAACAAATAATATCCAAAGCCAATAAAACTTGAGTCTGACGCTAACACCTATTACACTCTTACACGGAGAAGGCACAATAACTACTGTGCTGTGCTAAACCAGTATGCATGGATCAAAATAGAATAGTACAACTCAAGTCCCAATACCCCTTCTGGGACCATGCAATCACCATCCTTAACATATTGCCATATGCAAGAATAGAATGCATCCATCTCTTTAAATGTTTGGTAGAAGGCTTCAATATTTGGAAGTGATTAATGTGTGAATATCCAGCTTCCCAGAAGATGAGGATATTGCATAAATATTGTGCCAGCACTCCCCCATTTAATTACAGGTCTGTGAGACAAAAGAGCAAATCCGGTTGTTTGCCATATGGTCCTGGCAGTTGCATTAGTTGAGAATACCTCATGGAGGTGAATACAAAAAGATTGCATAAAAAATGTTAATTTAATCAACTAAAAATAATTACACATTCCCAGAGGGAGGTTCACAAACACTTTAAGTACCAAATTAAAATTAGGTGAGGTTTAAGTCAGAAGCCCAATTAAGGAGCAGCCAAACTGAATGGTAATGTTAAGTCCCAAAATAGCCATATTTTTAATGACTAAACATTGCCAGAAATATTGTTTGCCAACATTTTCAACACAGCATCTGTTGTATTTGAAAATAATCCAAACCTTTTTTTAGTGCAATGCAGAAGTGGTTTTGAGTGGTATTGACATGCTTTTAATCATCATCTCTTTCCATTGGAAAATTTTATTCACCGTTAATTACTCTCAAATGTAAATTTTGCCTCCTGGGTTATCAATTTGAGACTGTTGAAACCTTGACATTTGCTAACATTTATTGTGATGTAAAATTTTGTAATTGCAATCTATTTTTACAAACTTTTAAGGTAATTGTCCCTGTGGTTGAATTAAGTGGTTCACTCACTGTTATGAGCTCAATTACCAGTTTATTTGCCAGCCACACACAACGTCAGTGGAAAAGTGGTATCTTAACCTTTCCTGCACCTCACCTAGATCAAGTGAACCGTTAATATTAAAGTATATGGTGTGTAAACATCAGCGCTGGAGAAACAAATAGGGTCAGGCTTGGTAGTGGGTGTAAACTCCCTTGTGCACAATTCTGATATGAATACTCACCCACTAATAGAACTTACCCTCGTAGTTTGTGCGGTTATAATAGGGATCTTTCTTACAGAGATGCCGATTATTTGATGTTGCTGCTACTGATATCTTGTGATACAGGTGGAGTGCCAACACTACCACCCCAAACACAGCCGAAAGCACTCAAAGAAATCTAAGAAACATCGGAAGCGCTCTCGTTCCCGCTCGGTGAGAAGATCCACTCACACCATGTACATCTTGTCATGGAAATACATGCATTCAATGCCACTGCACGGTATTGTATGGTTTAATTTTAGCTGCTGAATAATTTTATGAACACGAAATACAATTATTGCTCCATGTCAACGAATTAATGTAGGGTATTACTGTTTCAATATACTTTTATGATAATTACTTTAAACAGGGATATTTGCTAGTTTATCTGACTAACCACCGAACTTGTGCATTTATATTGAGTTATTTTCACGGAGTTGTTTACAGTGGAGCGATGGTGCAGCGGTTAGCGTGCTGCAGTATGAACGCTGAAACCTGAATATCGATTCCTGGTCATGGCTAAAATTAGTGGCCAGTGATATCTGAACCAGTTGTAGCACCTGCTTTAATCAACCTACACTTAGTAGCACGATTATGTATTGTCAGGCAGTTCTCCCATGGCTGACACAGCATGGGGAAGCCTTCATCAAACTGTCGATTGACAAAGAGCTGAAAATTATATTAACATCTAGTCTATTGAATCTAGACTTTTTGTTCATTATTCTGGTAGCATGTAATTTTGTTAGGATGCCCTGTGTTGTTCTATATTGGTGGAATAATGTAATGCCCTTTTGTAAACATCCACTTGTATGTTGAACTTCTTTGGTACCATACGTAGCCAACCGTGTTAATCAGAGGTGCGCATATTGGCAAATCTTGCCTGCAACTCAAATGCTGTTACTATGCACAAATGTAACAAGAGTGAATACACAGGGATCTGAGTCAGAAGAAGACGATCATCACCACCGCGTGAAAAAGAAGAAGCGATCTCGTTCCAAGTCTGCATCCGAGCGCTCAAGCAGCGCTGAATCTGGTGAATTTAAGTACCAATTATTTGCCGAGCTATCACTCCTTGTTTGAAAACACCATTGCCTTTGTAACTGTGAGCATATTAAAATAATTAACTTTTTCTATTGTTGCTATTTTCAAAACCATCAGACCGCAGCTCAAAGAAATCAAAGAAACATAAGAAGAAGAACAAAAAGAGAAGACACAGATCAGTGAGTCGCGACTTTGTGTAATGCTCTTTATAATGCCTGTTGGCTGTGGGATTATCATGCTTTGTTAGCATTATTAGCTTGTCATGGACATGGTGATGTGCCAATATTTGTGTTTTCCATTTTAAAAATGTATTCTGCAAGCATTAATTACAGTGCACATGACTTATAGTCTTTAAAAATTTCAGCTCTATTCCTGTCTTTTAAATGGCGATTTAGACATCCGTTTTTTCTATGAAGTTGTCTGCCCAAGCTTGTACCGTGAAATATCTTGAGTATCTTTGATATTTGTCAAGTTCTTGTTTACCATAAAGAAAATACCTAGCCTGTAAAATTCATGGCAACATTTTTACTTGGTATATTTGAATAAAGATTTATGAGCCAATATTGCAGTCCACTGTTTCCTTCCATAGCTTATGCAATATTAACCAGGGTTTAAAGGTTAGGTTATATTTTCTATTGGCATGGATTCAATTCTGCCTAAATGAGCAGGAGTTCAGACACACAGCGTGCTGAATGATATATCGATCAGCTCTTAATAGCTGTTCCACATGCAATCTCTCAGAACTCGGTCGAGTCAGAGGAAGTGAGGGAAAAGGAGAGGGACCGGCGGGATAAGGACAAGGACAAAGACAAGGATAAGGAGAGGCATCGTGAGAAGGAACGCACAGACTCGCACAAATCCCCAAAGCGCTCTGGCAGCAAAAAGGACAAGGTAGGTTTAATGGTCGTGATGCTGTTGGCAACATTTTTATTTTGTACGTTATCATGGTGCCCCCTATTGAGCTAATTTCTTTCGATTCATTTTTTTTCTCTAAATTCCTTTGCAAATCTGTGCTTCTAACGTCTGAATTGTGCTTTGCACAGTGCACATCTACTCCAATGATGCTGAATACAGGAAATAGGTCCTATTTTGTTCCTTTGTAAGCGTAGTAGCTTGTTTATAGTATGGACCAAGTGTTTCCATGTGTTACTGCTTTGCTGCCTCAATGGATTCCTATAGCATTCTGGAAGACAAAAATAGTGCAAGACCAATTTGCTTTTTTCAGACACTACAGTCATGTTTACTCAGGAGAATTCATTATTTCCTATGTGGTTATGCCTTTTGAATGTGTAAAATGCAGCTCCTTTAACAATTTCGTTCTCTTAGATGTGTACTCATCTCTCCATAAAACCATGTACCCGGTTAGAAACTAAATATTTTTGTATAAATCAAATTACTCGTGGAATAAAATACCCAATATAACCTTCCCTTTTTTTACAAAGCCATTCGATGGTCGGTTTATAAGAAGTTATTAAAATATAGTAATGAAGGAAATGCTAAACACTTGTGACCAAATCACCTGAATGCATACAACCGTGGAGGTGTAGCGTTGAGCCTAGATATCGCTTGAATGGACAACGACTGCATAAAACAGGTGTTATCGGCTGCTGCAAAGTGGTATTGTGGGTAGCAGAGGGCAGTCCATCAATTGAATTATACTATGCTCCTCTATGTATGCTCCCCTCCATCACTAACCCATTCTGACCAGTATGGTCCTCATCCAGCAATGGATTGCCAAAAGGGTAAATTACTTTAAGCAGCATAAAAGGGTCACCATCTAGTGTTTCCTGAGAGGCTCATTGAAGTGACTAGAAGCAGAAGTGTGCCACCACCGAGGCCTTTTTCTGATAATACATGATCTTCTGTCTACCGGAGTTTTATCAGGATGTTCCTTTGCTTTCAGTTAAGATCTATAACTATTATCCCATGCCCCCATTGTCTCTGCCCCAAGAGGGCTACTGCAAGTGAGCATTGCTTTTGTAAATGTATGTTGCGCATTCAGACGGGGTGGGACACCTCGGAGAGTGAGCTGAGCGAGGGGGAGCTCGAGAAGCGGCGTAGGGTCCTGCTGCAGCAGCTCGCCGATGATGCGAGGCGCAAGCGCGACACCACGGGGACGGGGCGCGATGCGTGAACAATACAGCGACAACAGATCAACAGCACCAGCGCCTACAACAACATAGGCACCCCAAATGGTCCTCCAGAAAATGTTTTTGTGCAGAAACGCAGTTATTTTTCTAATTGGAACACCCGAGATGTTCCAAGGGAAGCCGTGCATTCTGAGAAATGACTACTTGTAAACTGAGGTAGGTGTGGGCAAGTTTTTGCTTTGGATCGTAGCTATTGGTGCTCGGTTTTCCTGCTTCCACATCCATCAAGTTCACAGCCAACTTAAGTGATGATCCAATGATCAGAAAAAAGACAATTGTTATGCTTGGCATTTGAAACCACATTGGATTAATACAAATATGGGAGTAATTTTCCTTTATGTGATGTGAATATGCATTTGCCAGATACATGAAAGTATGATCTATTCTATTTTGTTACAATGTCATCTGGGCTATGTGGAAGGTTTCTGCTCGGTTAAAATCCCCTTTTAAAACTCGTGTTTAGTCGTGTATGAGGAGTGCACGGAAATAAACATTTCTCAACCGGAAAAGTTGTGCTTCATGAAATAATCTTGACGATTTAGAGGTTTGCTTGTTAAATATTTCCTGCAGCTTTTATCGTTCACCTATTTGAATTGTATATTGCGTTTGCGACCAAGGTGAACATTATCCTGTGTCACTGCTGTATATTTGGTACTTATTAAAAGTTCCAATGGAAAAGCAACAAAAATATGACCGAGAAGGTGGTGCGTCACCAAATGACTTACCTTGAATAGCACATTTTTTTGTTGAGTACAAAAATATATTTTCATTAATACATTTCCCCCTTTTTGTATCATTGTATCCTATCATTTAGCGGCCATGTAAAATACGCCCTTACAGGTGTTTTAAATTAATGTTTTTATTTGCTTTAAGACCGAAATTTTAATTCTTTGTTTCACGATTTACTGTTGTGTAATGTTTATTTTGCAACTTACATTTTTGATGACACCAAAAGGTGTTCGCAACTTGGCATATTTTGTTTTGAGAGGGAGGCAGCAGTCTTATTTTTTTAGAAAAATATTTGTCAAACGTTGGTTCCAGTTGCGTTTAAGTTGACGTTTAGTTGAAAAATAAACATTTTCGAAAAAATATTTAAAAGGTGTTCGACAGTTTAATCGGGATACAACACATACTATTACCGTGATGGGTGTTCACAAACTTTAGGTCCTTGTTCATTGCTTGATTTATCTGAAATTATAATGGAAATTCTGTTGTAAATTGTGGGGTTTTTTTCATTATACTGACCAACATTTATTATTGCCATGTTTTGCATGAAATATTACCTCAAAAATCTTAACGAAAGCACTTTACACATTTCTTTGGCAATATCTCATTGGTTTGCAATTATGTGCTAATTTTAATAGTTTACAGTGATTTTGTTATTCCTCTGTCATTCCAATGCTGGATGAAGGCCTCCAGACTCCGTTATCGATCATGGAGGTTGTTTGACCGTTTATCACCATTTGGGTAGTACTGTGAAGGAAAGGGGGTGTGGGGTGGAGGGTTGCTGAGGTATCATAAGCAGGACCGGTTAACATATAACTCGCCACTGACATGTCTATAGTAGCTGAAGGAGCTCGGGGGGAGGGGGGGATGCCTTACTCGATCTAAAGGTTTTGGTCAGTTCTCGAAGCCACATTGATAAATGGTGAGGAATGGTCAATAACTTCCACAATCTGCAAGATTTCTGGAGGCCCCCATCCAGCAGTAGATTGATAAAAATGACTACATAATGAAAACTGGAAATTGAGCGTGTCCCAAGGTCATCAACCAAACAGATGGAGTGATAAAAGTATTGTGGAGATAAATTATTACATTTCAGGAACATGAGCTGTTTGGCAAGGCCTGTGCACAACTGGACTGACCGCAGCTGATGTTGACGATTATAGTAATAATTTCGACATGAAGTAATACTTTGCTATCATGTCTAGTAAAGCAGGGGTGTGGATGGAAGCTGAAGTAACTCAGATGCCAGAGCGTTAGACTGAAGAGCTAAAGGTGCCTGGTTCAATTCTGGTATTGGGCATAGTGCTTATTTTTACTTCGTTCACCAAGTGGTACTTCCCATTGTCTACCATTGTGTAAACTTTGACAGACCCTAATAACCAGTGCAGCATGAGGAAGCAGTGGAGTGACAAGGCTCGGGTATTTTTTGCTCATCACCACAATGCAGAAATGCATTATGAACTGCAATTGAGCATCATTGGTAATGGCAAATAACCACTCGAGTCACGTGTTATACTCTCTTCTAACTGGCACTTCAATGACAAGGCAACTAATTTAATAACTTTGACAAACGCCATTGAATAGTGGAGCATGAGGCCCTTCTCCAGCAGTGGTGATGCAAGGTCCTGTGTATTTCTTATCAGCACAGTGCATAGATGCTTTATGAACTGCAATGTGCATCATTGGTAAAAGCTATTAACCATTGAGACACTTGTAATCATCTCTTTAAAATTCGTACGTCAATAACATGGCAACTAAACCAATGCTGCAGGAGGAGGCCGTAATAGCTCAGTTGGGAGGACATTAGACTGAAGATCTGAAGGTCCCGGGTTTCGGCATGGTGTACATTTTTGCTGACTTCACCAAATGGTACTCGCCAATGTGGATAACTTTGACAAACCCTAATGACAAGTGCATCATGAGGAGGCCTTTATCCAGCAGTGGAGTGACAAAAAGCTCCCTATGTATTTCTTATCACCACATAGTGCACAAATGCGTTATGAACCGCAATTGAGCATAATTGGTAACGGCAAATAACCATGCGAGCCTCTTTTTACGCTCTCTATTCTAACTGGCACTTAAATAGCATGGCAACTATTTGAATAACTTGGGTCAACCTCAATAACTAGTGTCGCATGAAGCCGTTATCCAGCAGTGGAGTAATACAACGGTTTTGTATATTCATTTCTTATCACAAAATAGTACACAAATGCATTATAAACTGCAATTGAGCATTATTGTTAACGGCAAATAACTTTGATCAAGACAAACAACTAGTGCAGCATGAGACCCTTATCCAGCAGTGGAGTGACAATAAGCTCCTGTATTTATACACGTAGGAACAACAGTTCCACACTGCCCACCAGGGATGATTTGTCTCTCTGTCGTGCATAGCCACGCCCTTGATTTGTAGAGCGCTGCGGGCGGGCTCGGCACCACGTGACACGCCGCCCCACGCAGCTTGCGCCGCGTGACACGGATCGCACGAATGCGCTGTCCAACCAAGTTCCTACCTGCCCACTCCGAAGGAACGTGTTTTCTTATCACCACATCGTGCACAGATGCTTTATGAATTGCAATGTGCATCATTGGTCAATAGATTACCCATTGAGCCACTTTTGAAAACCTCTATCAAACTGGGACGTCAATAACATGGCAACTAAACCAATGCTGCAGGAGGAAGCCGAAATAGCTCAGTTGGGAGAGCGTTAGACTGAAGATCTAATGGTCCCTGGTTCAATCATGGGTTTCGGCATGGTACATATTTTTGCTCAGTTCACCAAGGACTACCCATTGTGGTTATCTTTGACAAACCCCAATGACCAGTGCAGCATGAGGAGGCCTTTATCCAGCAGTGGAGTGACAAAAAGCTCCCGTATGTATTTCTTATCACCACATTGTGCACAAATGCATTTTGAATTGCAATGTGCATGATTGGTCAATAGATTACACATTGAGCCACTTTTGATAACCTCTATCAAACTGGGACGTCAATAACATGGCAACTAAACCAATGATGCAGGAGGAAGCCGAAATAGCTCAGTTGGGAGCGTGTTAGCCTGAAGATCTAAAGGTCCCTGGTTCAATCCCGGGTTTCGGCATGGTACATATTTTTGCTCAGTTCACCAAGTGGTACTACCCATTGTGGTTATCTTTGACAAACCCCAATAACCAGGGCAGCATGAGGAGGCCTTTATCCAGCAGTGGAGTGACATAAAGCTCCTGCATTCATTTCTTATCACCACATCGTTCACAGATGCTTTATGAATTGCAATGTGCATCATTGGTCAATAGATTACCCATTGAGCCACTTTTGATAACCTCTATCAAACTGAGACGTCAATAACATGGCAACTAAACCAATGCTTCAGGAGGAAGCTGAAAAAGCACAGTTGGGAGAGCATTAGACTATAGATTTAAAGCTCCCTATGTCAATCCCGGGTTTCGGCATGCTCAGTTCACCAAGTGGTACTACCCATTGTGGTTATCTTTGACAAACCCAATGACCAGGGCAGCATGAGGAGGCCTTTATCCAGCAGTGGAGTGACAAAAAGCTCCTTCATTCATTTCTTATCACCACATCGTTCACAGATGGTTTATGAATTGCAATGTGGTTAATTGGTCAATAGATTACCCATTGAGCCACTTTTGATAACCTCTATCAAACTGGGACGTCAATAACATGGCAACTTAAAGTGGCTGCTGAAGGATGCCGAAATAGCTCAGTTGGGAGAGCGTTAGACTGAAGATCTAAAGGTCCCTGGTTCAATCCCGGGTTTCGGCATGGTACATATTTTTGCTCAGTTCACCAAGTGGTACTACCCATTGTGGTTATCTTTGACAAACCCCAATGACCAGGGCAGCATGAGGAGGCCTTTATCCAGCAGTGGAGTGACTAAAAGCTCCCGTATGTGCACAAATGCATTATGAATTGCCATGTGAATCATTGGTCAATAGATTACCCCTTGCGCCACTTTTGATAACCTCTATCAAACTGGGACGTCAATAACATGGCAACTAAACCTATGCTGCAGGCGGAAGCCGAAATAGCTCAGTTGGGAGAGCGTTAGACTGAAGATCTAAAGGTCCCTGGTTCAATCCCGGGTTTCGGCATGGTACATATTTTTGCTCGGTTCACCAAGTATTACCCATTGTGGGTATCTTTGACAAACCCCAATGACCAGGGCAGCATGAGGAGGCCTTTATCCAGCAGTGGAGTGACAAAAAGCTCCCGTATGTATTTCTTATCACCACATCGTTCACAGATGCTTTATGAATTGCAATGTGCATCTTGGTCAATAGATTACCCATTGAGCCACTTTTGATAACCTCTATCAAACTGGGACGTCAATAACATGGCAACTAAACCAATGCTGCAGGAGGAAGCCGAAATAGCTCAGTTGGGAGAGCGTTAGACTGAAGATCTAAAGGTCCCTGGTTCAATCCCGGGTTTCGGCATGGTACATATTTTTGCTCAGTTCACCAAGGACTACCCATTGTGGTTATCTTTGACAAACCCCAATGACCAGTGCAGCATGAGGAGGCCTTTATCCAGCAGTGGAGTGACAAAAAGCTCCCGTATGTATTTCTTATCACCACATTGTGCACAAATGCATTTTGAATTGCAATGTGCATGATTGGTCAATAGATTACACATTGAGCCACTTTTGATAACCTCTATCAAACTGGGACGTCAATAACATGGCAACTAAACCAATGATGCAGGAGGAAGCCGAAATAGCTCAGTTGGGAGCGTGTTAGCCTGAAGATCTAAAGGTCCCTGGTTCAATCCCGGGTTTCGGCATGGGACGACTTTTGCTCAGTTCACTAAGTGGTACTACCCATTGTGGTTATCTTTGACAAACCCCAATGACCAGAGCAGCATGAGGAGGCCTTTATCCAGCAGTGGAGTGACAACAAGCTCCTGCATTCATTTCTTATCACCACATCGTTCACAGATGCTTTATGAATTGCAATGTGCATCATTGGTCAATAGATTATCCATTGAGCCACTTTTGATAACCTCTATCAAACTGGGACGTCAATAACATGGCAACTAAACCAATGTTGCAGGAGGAAGCCGAAATAGCTCAGTTGGGAGAGCGTAAGTTAAGATCTAAAGGTCCCTGGTTCAATCCCGGGTTTCGGCATGGTACATATTTTTGCTCAGTTCACCAAGTGGTACTACCCATTGTGGTTATCTTTGACAAACCCCAATAACCAGGGCAGCATGAGGAGGCCTTTATCCAGCAGTGGAGTGACATAAAGCTCCTGCATTCATTTCTTATCACCACATCGTTCACAGATGCTTTATGAATTGCAATGTGCATCATTGGTCAATAGATTACCCATTGAGCCACTTTTGATAACCT